CCCCCCGCGACCCCAGCCCGCCCGCCCCCGCGGGCCCGGCCTGGCGTGGCCGCCTGCCGCCGCGCTCCTCCTCCTCCTCCGGCGCCCCGCGGCCCGCCGCCTCCTCTGCCCGCCGCCCCGCGCCCCTCGCCGCGCCGCCGCCGCCGCCCTCTGCGCCCCGCGGCGCCCCCCGGTCCCGCCCGCCATGCCCGGCCCGGCCGCGGGCAGCAGGGCCCGGGTCTACGCCGAGGTGAACAGCCTGAGGAGCCGCGAGTACTGGGACTATGAGGCTCACGTCCCGAGCTGGGGGTAAAGCCGCCGCCGCCTCCCCCCACCCCCGCCCGACCGCTCCCCTGCGCAAACCGCACTGGCCCCCCACCCCGCGGTCTGCCTTCCCCTCCGCCCCGCCGCTGGCCGGCGCTTTCTCGGGTCTGGGGTAGGAGGCAGAGCCCCCTCCCCCGCCGCCCGCCGCACATGTCCTCTTCTCTCTGTCTCCCCTTCTCCCCGCCTTGCGCACCCCTCTCTCCCCCTTACCCAAGGAATGCTTTCTTACTGAGAAGTGTGAGGTCCAGGGACTGAAGCCTGGTGGAAATGAGGGAGCAGCCCTTCCTCCTTACACTTCTGGGTTTCTATTTGGGGTGGGCAGTCAGCAGCTGTCCTCTGGAGCTATTAAAATTCTCTTGCCTTTTTAGTTTTTTGAAATGAGGCTGGGTGGGAGGAAATCTTTTAAAGACATCCACATTTCCAAAGCAGGCGCTGGTACCTTTGGGGTGTGAAATACAAGGCGGTTGCTGTGGAGCCCCAGGCAGCGGGGCACCCTCAGAGCCTCCACGATGAATGCTTTGCTCACCCTTCTAGATTGGCTCAGAGCCGTGCCTTCCTACCTCTGCTCCCCAAGTTGTGGTGGACCAATTAGGTTAGGAGCTGTGCGCAGAGTGAAAGGAGCCAACTTTATGTTGTGACTTTCATTTAGGGAATGAGTCGTGTCCTGATGTATAGACGCTTCCAACAGTTGATTAATGGAAGTGGCTGGATGGGGGTGTATAGTGGGCATAGGCTTGGTTAATCCCAAGTCCTGGCATTTATGTGTCACTCTTGCCTTTCACAGTAATCAAGATGATTACCAACTGGTTCGAAAACTTGGTCGGGGAAAGTATAGTGAAGTATTTGAGGCCATTAACATCACCAACAATGAGAGAGTGGTTGTAAAAATTCTCAAGGTGAGTGTCTTATCAGTGGCATTAAAAATGTGGTTCACTGGTCCGGACGTAGACTTCAGCCGCATTGTAGAACGAGCAGTGCAGGCTCTCATTTCACATATGATTCTGTCTGATGTCCCTTCACGACTCTTCCCACCCGTTTTCCTGTGAACTTTGAAGTACGTCCGTAGACCTGTTTCAAATCTAAGCACGGTTGTTCCGGAACATACTTGTTCTGAAATGTCATTGTGGGCTCCCAAAGTGAAAATTTCAAAGGGTCCATTTGTTAAAACAGGAGATAGGGATTCAGATGAAAGAAAACCTTTTCCAGTGAAGATCCTATCAATTGAGGGGCTCCTTGAGCGTGGGATTTGTTACCCTTGGTGCTTGAAATTATTCCAGAAAGAAAGCTGGAAGAAATGAGAGGAGCTCCAAAGATGAGTTTGAAGCTTGGGTGGAAACCCCTCAGTGGCTGATCAGTTGTTTCTTCTCTTTGGCAGTGAGAGTGTGTCAGGTGGGGTTGGATACGGCGATCCAGTAGTGCCCAGAAGGTTCATTGTTGCTTATCAAGTAGTTAAAGTGAAATTGGGAGCAGTAAGGAGTACACTTACAATCACTAAAATTAATACTTGGAACAAACAGTCTTAGTGTCTGGTGTAGTCTGCTTGAGTTTAATAAAGATATGTCTTTTATGGTCTCTTTGGTGAAGACATGATCTTAATGAGCATGAAGAGTTGGCTAAATTCTCCTTTAGGTAACTGGTTGGATAACTTTAATAAGGTTTTATAGGGTGTACAAAAAAAAAAGGTAATTCTTAGAATCTGTGAAGGGTCTTCATCATTGCCAGATCACTTAATGTGTGCGCATGTCATTTAGTGAAATATCGAAGACTAAAGAGTGATTAATATAAACACTTTTGCATATACAAGATATCCAATGTGGCCATTTTGCAGAGGCTCAGTGAATAAGGATGTGGGAATGGAGAGCTGTTTTTGTGTGTTAAGGACAGAGTTAGGGTAGCGGTGTCCCTGTTTAGTATGAGGGGTCAGGCTTACGCTGTCTGAAAATCAGTTTTCAGAAAAGTGATCAGCTTTGTTACTCAGTGCCATTTGAGCCCAGTGTTGAAGAAGAAGAGTTGAAGTAGAGAGAAGTAGGCAAAGTTATCTGTGCCATCAGAGGCACTGGAGTGAGAAGTGAGGAATTGATACTGAAGATGGGGAGTTTGACTCCCCTCTTCCCCAGATGTGAATTGGACCTAAAAAGTCACATGGTCTTTTTTTTTTTTTCTTTACAAGTATAAATATTTAAAGAAATGTTCCCTTCAGGGAAGTCACCATATGATTTTTTCCTTTATACATAAGCATAAATTTTTTTTTTAAAGATTTTATTTATTTGACACAGAGAGATCACAGTGGACAGAGAGGCAGGCAGAGAGAGAGGAGGAAACAGGCTTCCTGCGGAGCAGAGAGCCCCATGTGGGACTCGATCCCAGGACCCTGAGATCATGACCTGAGCTGAAAGCAGCGGCTTAACCCACTGAGCCACCCAGGTGCCCCAAGCATAAATGTTGTTAATATAAGCTGCTTAAATCTTTCTAGGAGTGAGCAAGGCATAAATTGAACTTAGGAATATCCGTATTCCACTGCTGTGCATTTGAAAGAATGAAGTGCTGACTCCCGAACGATTTCAGAAAAATACTAAACTTTTATGCAGTAGCAGCATTTTTAGAATAAGTGTGTAACTTCCTGTCCTTTGGAGGAATGGCTTTAGGTATATATGTAAGTGAAAGTACGTTGATTCAAGAGAACATCGCGTTGCTCTTTAGTCTTCCTTCTAGAGATCCGTTCCTGGATAGTTTTCCCCCTGAAGATTCACAGGATATGTTTAGGGAACCCAAAATGGAAGCCTGCTTTGACAGGCAAGAAACCTAAGGACAGGAAAACTTACTCACTGATACCACTATGTTAAAATGACCCTTAGCCAGAACTCCTGTTTCCTATTTTTTCCTCTCTCTCTCTCTCTCTCCCCTCATTTTAATGTGAGTTTGTAAGATCCTCAGAATAAGGCCCTGTGTTCTGGAATAAGATTTGGAAGGCTCCTTTGATGCTCTAGTTAATGAAGTATTCTTGTATCTTTTCCATACAAGTTCTTTTCAGGGTACAGCCTGAACCAACTTCGTTGCCACTGGTGAAAACCACCCTCACTTCTTTCTTTCTTTTTTAAGCCATGTGGCATTTTTGTCTAGATTTTGTTTTAGCTGAAGGATAGGTAAGAAACTACTAATGATATTGTGGTTTTCTCGTTTTCACGGGCTGAATTAAAGTGGATTAAAAGTATTGGGGTTTTTTTGGGTTTTTTTTTTTTTGTTTTTTTTTTTAAGAGGACAGTGTCTTGATCCCAAGTTGTTGCCTCTGTTCAGATAAGTTATGACTAATATCTTTTGTTACAGTGTTTGGTCATAGGAAATTAGGCCCTTAACAGAGTTCCAGCTGCTTATAATTCAGAGGAATCTAGAAAAAAAGCTCTCTTCATAAAAGGCCTACTACTGTACTTTAACTGCAGGAAGGGTACTCACATACACACTGTGGCTGAGAGAGAAGGTATATTCCTTAAAGACAGGGCTGTCTTCCTTTTTGGTCAATAACATTTTCCTTCAGTTCTTTGTAGTAAAAGAGAATGGTCACATGAATTAATGACCACAGAATTCTCTCATTTAATTTGCAGCTGTAGATTTTTTTGGTCAAAACACATTGGAACTCTTTAGAGGTTTTAGCAATTTAGAAGTCAGTGAGCAAAATTTTACTCTCTATTTTGAAGTGAAATTGCGAGGTTGAAATCTTAAAATGTTCTAATCAATAGGAAGGTTATATCTTTTTTGGCCAAAATTGTTTTAAGGGGAAAAAGAAAGGGGGAGGGGGTGGGAAGGATTAACATAGGAGGGGAGAAAGTTACTTCAGCGCTGAAAATTTCATCTTTTGATTTTGAAAAGTCCATTGCTCAATTCCTTTGTAGTACCACTCAGGAGGGTATACACAGAAATAAAAGCATTTGGCCATTTTGGACAACTTGTAGCATTTTGTGGACACCACCTATGTATGGATTTCAGCCGTTCTTGTGTTCCTTCAAGTGAAAACTCCTATTTCCTAAGTAGAAGTTAAGAGCAATACCATTTTTAAATAAACGTGTACAGTGTTTTGAACCCATGCTGCCCTGATTTGGAATTTTCTCATGCAAGACAGTATAAGGTAGTCTTATGAAGAGTTGGATAAGTCCATTTTGCCCCCCAGTGGTTAATCCACAAATTAAAACAAAGAATGGTGGTAATATAAGTTTACTCTTTAAGTGTGCTTAGCATATTTGTAGATGTTTCTTAAATGTTGTGCGGTGAGGAAGTGGTGGGAAAAGAAGGATGGGAGGCCTGCCAGTGACCTGTCTTGTGGGGTTACTTCAGAGCAAGCAGGCGACTGTCTAGGTCATATCAGAGTGATGTTCACGCATGCTGGTGCTGGGCTTTCTCTTGTATTTCTGCTTTCTCCGGTGGTAGGTGTTTTCCCTCAAGGTACTTTGTTAGACAAGTACACCAAGATGTCATTTTCCTGAAGCAAGACATTAGTATTGATTTTTCTAAAATTTTTATGATTCTTTTTCATTCCTACAAATGTTTTATGGTATAAAAGTAGTTAAAATTGTATTATTAAAGTGTTACATCAAATAATACAAATTTTAAAAATTGTGTGAACTAGTCAGTGCTATTTCTTCTAAGATTCTATTTTATTTGAGAGAGCACGCATGTGTGCAAGTGGGAGTAGGGTTGGGGAGGGGCAAAGGGAGAGAATCTCTAGTAGACTCCCCATGGAGTGCAGAACCCATTGTGGCGCTCCATCTTACAACCCCAGGATCATGACCTGAGCTGAAACCAAAAGTCGGATGCCCAACCGACTGAGCCACCCAGGGGCCCCTAGTGCTGTTTCCAATATTGTGGTTGTAGGGTCTGAGCTTGAGAGTGTGATGAAACAGAATCACGAAATAAGGGAGCAGAGAAACCTTAGGACCCAAACCCTTTTTACAGATAAACTGAGACCCAGAGCACGCAGTTTGCTCAGGGTCACATGGTTAGGGGGTAAAAGCACTAGGGTCCTCTGTCCTTCTCATGGAATCTTGTAGCTGTGAGGAGCAGTTAATGACATTTGCTGGATATTTGACTTTTTGAGGTATTGAACTATGCTGGAAAGATGGATGAACATTCACTAGAAGTCAAGTGAATTTGTTTCTAATGGTTTTGGGGACTTATTCTTCTAGGAGATGCTTGACCTGCATGGGTACTAGATGGAGTACGGAACAGATGAATACCAGAGAGCCACAGGCACCCAGCCAGGGGCTCTCTGGTTTGAGTCTGCAGCAGCTTGGTGAATGCATTGTGAAATGTTACTTTGTTGGTTTGAAGCCACAATAACCAGTGCTTTTACACTTTTATTAACCCATACAGTTCCCTCATCGTGATAACTTGCCAGATTTCGGGGCTAATAGCTTTATCCCTCTAATATATTAGAGTTTGTTGGAGAGTGAGCCATTGTAAAAAGAGTAGCTTGGCATAGAGGACCCATTTTTATGTGTATAGCATGGCTGTGGATAGTTTCTAGAGCCTGATTTTAGGATCTGCCACCTCATCACGAGGGCAGTATAGTGTTAAGAATTGCTGTAAATGGAGGGCAGGAGACTTGGGTTCTAGAACCAGCTTCTTCATTTATACCCGCTTGACTCTGTTTTCCTATCTATAAAATGGATATATTTCCTGTGGAACTCACAGGGTTGTTGGTAGAATTAAATGATTAGTTCGGGAGAGATGGGTAGGTACATGACAGTGTTTTAGTCATCTACACAGTGTTCCTTTCCCAAAAGTGGCCCTGGAAGTAGACTGCCTGCATTCAGATGGGCTTTCCCAACACTGGGCAACTCTGTGACCTTGAGCAGGTATTTAAACTCTGCCTCAGCCTCCTCATGTAAAATTGCGCCAATAGGAACTCCTCTCAGAATATTGTTAGAGGTGGATTAAATGTGCTTAAAACAGTGCCTACACTTAGAAAGCAATAAAATATGGTTCTAATAACAGTATTTCAGCTGGGCAACATGAATGATTTCAGAGGGCAAAACCAGGAGTAGAAAAGACGATACCATTCTCTCGAAATTCAAAAGGCCTGCTGTATGCCTTGCTTTTTTAAATTAAAACACACACACACACACACATACACCCTGAGAAAAACAGTCTCAAGGAGTTGATAACGTAATTGGAAAGGGACTTGAAAGACTAAGAGAAAAGTTGCTGTGAAGAAATGACACCGCTCAGGTAATGTTTATATTTGGGTCAGTTGCAGTGGATTTGAGGGATGCCTCAAGGTGATAAAATAAATGCTATCATCCAGGCTGAACTTTCCTTTCTTACTCTGTCCCACATCCCTGGCAACCGGTGTTCATTGTGATTGTTTACTGTAGGTGATGAAACTAGTCTCTCAGTTGTCACTGTGGCACTGGAATCAGAGTAGTTCCAGATTTGCAAGTTCTGAACCACCTTTCTGCCTGTCTTGAATTTATTAATTCAGTTGTGCTTAGAAAGAAATGAAAATGGGACTTTGCCTCTTAACATTCGCTGGGATTTATTGAGGTCCTAATTCTTAAGCCTTGTGTATACGTTAGTTCAGAAATTCGATCACAATCAAATGCTAGTAGTTGAAATCATTCTCAGATCTGGCTTTTTAAAAATCAGCCCTAAGTAAATAGGACAGATCATTGACTTCATTAATTAAGCAACCTATCACTAAATTTGTCTTCTAAGTTTTTCAGTGTTGGTCAATAGGGAGAAAGAAGTAGTCTTAATTTTTGGATTATGTTGAACAAGGTTGTCCTGAATCACTGGGACTCTCCACCCTGTGGGCAGAAATGGTTGGGAAAGTTCCTTCCTTTCACCCCCTCTTTTTCTCTTCCTTTCTCTCTTTCTTGTTTTTTCCTTCCCTCTCTCCCTTTTCCTTCCTTTTCTGAGCTCATGCACAGAAAATTTCAAATTGAGCTTTTTCCCTTTTAAACGTTCTCTCTAGGTGCGCACCATAATTCATTTATTATTGAAACTTGATTTAATACTTTAATTTTTTTTTTTTTTTTAGCTTTTTGCCATTTTTCTCTTCTAGACTTTGAGTTAAAAAGAATATTGGGAAACAACTAAACTGATTCATTTCTAAACTGATTCATTTTGAATCTTTTTAAACATATTCTCTGAATTGGAATAAATAAACCGTAACTGGAAGAGACTTTGTCTAGCAGGATGAAATGATGAGACTGTGAGGGAAGTGCGTATTTTCTCTGTGTAGCTGCAGGTGGATGAATGCAAACACTGGGCTACAGTCTCAAAGCACTTTTTTTTCTATAAAATCCATGATCTGTTTTCCACAAGATGTGAAGGGTCTTCCTTTATAAAGTCTACCCTTTTCTCTCTCATTCTGTTTACAGCTTTAAAATGATCACTTTCATTCCCGGGGAGCTCATTGGTTTTTTAGCTTCTAAAGCATGTCCCAGGTTCAGAGGAATAAGCTTGCGGCAAAAGGAAGTTCCCTGTGGCCTGGTTCCTGTAGAGAATGGATGTCCATGCTTTGGAGCAATGTCCTGGGTTGTAGGTCCCTTTTCCTTTTTAATCATCTCTTGGTCATTTGTCAGGATGTGAGGATTCCAGGTGCTGTGCGAGTTTGTTGTGCCACCTCAGAATTGCCCTGCTGTCCCCGGTCTTCTAGGTGAGGAAGTTGTTAGACAGGTGACAGTTGGGTAGCAAAATACGTTCTCTTGCTCCATAAGTTACCTTAGGACATCATGAGAGATCCCTAAATCTTAGTGGCATTGTCCAGGAACCATGTCCCTGCCTGACCTGTTGCTGACTAACAGGAAGGCAAAGCAAGGCTTTATATGGGGCATTGTCATAAAGGCAACTTAGTGGGTTACCCCTGTACTAATTCACTGTTAGGGGGAGAGGAAGGTTTTTGGTGTATATAGATCTCTGGCTGTGGGGTGTTTTTTCCTCTGCGACCACTCTCACAGATCTGTAACTGCTTTCCAACTCTAGAATTTTCTCACATTGAATATGCTGGTAGCATTGGCTGAATTTATAGATACAGTAGCCAGCTTTTATTTTTCTTTTAACTTTTTGATATAACTTCAGCTTTAAAGAAAAGTTAGAAGAATTCCCATATGTCTTTCACTCAGATTTCTCAAATGTTAACATTTGCTGTATGCTTTTCTCTCTCTTATATATAAACATACATATGTGTGTGTATAAACGCATGTAGTTATGTGCTTGAGAGTAAATTGCAGTGATCCCTACTGTAGTGTGCATTTCCTAAAACCAGGGACAATTCTTATGTAACCCCACAGTGCCATGATCAAAAATCAGAAACTAACATTGTTACAGTGCTGTTAGCTAATCTGCAGGCCCTGTTCTCATTTTCCAATTGTCCATATAATGTTTTTATAGCAAAAGAAAATCCCAGGTCATGTATTACTTTCAGTTGTCGTATCTCTTTAATCTGGAACAGTTGTTCAGTCTGTTTCCTGACATTGACATTTTTGAAGCTTACTTATTTTGTAGTATGTCCTTTTCTGGCTGTTTTTTGTTTTGTTTTTGTTTTTGTTTTTTATCAAGTTGTACTTCATGTTCAAGTGCTTTATTTCCCCCAAAGTATTGAGCTCCCTAATTATGAAAAAGGGAATGAGTACGATTCCTAAGTGGAAGTGGGTGAGAGACACAGTAGCTAGATCTACTCTCCCACAAACCCTGACAAAGCAGAGTGGACGTGAGTGTGGCAGCTGGCTTGGAAGAATGCAGCCAGATTTCAGCCTGTCAGTCAAACACCCCGTTAGAGGTGATGCAGGTGCTCTATGTTTCATAATCTCCCTCTGTTTTGTTATGTGTGCAGAGCTGTAGCTTAGTGACCAACAAAAGATGACGATGTCTCTGGCATATGTATATATCTCTCCCCTCCCACCACCAGCACACACATGCAGGTTTTTAAAATCTTACTTCATTGAAAACCCATTGGATTCTCTTTACCCGTGCTACCAGAACAGTGTCTAGTGTCTCGGTGATCGAATACTCCTTTCCCCAGTTCCCTTTCTCTCCTAGCCACACTTGGGAAATGAGAGCAGCATGGCCAAGAGGGAGGCCTACAGAGGCACTGTCTAGATCTGAATCCTGCCCCCACCCTTCACCATCAGCTGTGGGACCTTGGGCAAATGGTTCAGCTAGGCTGAGTCCACTACATAGGAATTTTGTGGTTTGTTACTAACTAAATACATGAAAATAATCAAGCTTCCATTTATTGAGTGCTTACTACATGCCAGTTAAGTGTTCTGAGTACTTTATAAAATGTAATTGTGATGTGACTATTGTTCCAGAACTGCTTACATTCTTCAAATTCTTCAAGACAAGAAATAGCACATGTAATGCTAGTATTTCTGATTGCGATTTTTAATTTTGCTACCCAGCAGATGGAAAGGTTAGTGAGTAGCAGAGGTTTCCAATCGGTACTGGATCAGATACCCGTTTTCTCCTCTGCTGCTCTGTCATCTCTTTCTTTAGGAGTGGGATGTGTTGGGGAGTTTTAGTAGGTCTGTGCTGATTTCAGATTCTAGATGTTGAGGAAATGGGAGTGGCAACAGGAAATGGGAGCCAGCAGCTGGGAAACAAGTTTGTAACTTGATGTCAGTGAACTGGTCTTCGCTCCTGGAAGACAAAATTACATGTAACTCATTGGAAGAGCAGGTGTCTCACCATTTTGTTTCAGTTTTTCCATTTGCAAGTGCATGATATACAGCTGTTCAGAGCTGTAATGCACGCCTTCCTTTTGGCAGTTATCTAGGCATTTTATTTTTAAAGTATGACATGGGTGTTCAAAATTTGTAAGTGACCTGAATGTAACTACCTAAAGATCTGACACATATGCTGTATGAGTCTGTATTCAACTTAATCTCAAACATTCTCAAGGGCAGTCCCTATTTTTATCTTGATTTCTCTTTTCTAATTTAGACACGCTCTCTAAAGTGACATGGTGTGCAAGATAGCCCGGTAGCCACTTGATTAGCTGACATTGTTTTAAGCTTTTATTTATTATACTTCAAAAGGAATCTCACTTCCGATTACTCTTGTGTATTTAAGCCAGTGAAGAAAAAGAAGATAAAACGAGAGGTTAAGATTCTGGAGAACCTTCGTGGTGGAACAAATATCATTAAGCTGATTGACACTGTGAAGGACCCCGTGGTAGGTGCCTGACGGTTGGGGGAGAAGGAGCAAGTGAGTGCGTGAATGTGTGCGTGGTGTGACACAGAATGTCGGAATAATGAGAAACATCATTACGTATTGGGAATGACTGTGTTCATCTTCTACTCCTGAATAGTTTTGAAAGCCAGAAAAAACCATGGTGGCCCAAAGATGAAGTAGCCACCACCACTTTTATGAAACCTAAAAGTGTATGTATAGAAAAATCCCTATTCCAGTTTATTACCTTGTTCCGGTTCAGCCCACAAATGTTTGCTGAATGTCTTCTTTAAGCCCCTACTTTTCTCCCAATTTTGAAAGCTTATTACCTCCAGTTGGCCTTATTTTGCTTCACTTCATTAAGCCTGACATCTGAAAGTCTGGGCTTACAGAGGGAAATACCGAATATCTCCACGTGGACACCTGGCATAGAGATCACAACCCCACAGACCCTTTGAGGAAGGCATCTTGCTGTTTCTCCTACTAGAATTTAATTCAGTGTCTACCCCTGGGGCTCATGTTGTATATTCTGATACAACTAAATATTTTTGTTAAAAATGCTTACTTTGTAGCCCTCTTAGATGTGCTATTTAATTTTGTTTTCTTGGGAGGTGATTAGCCAGAGTGTTTATGTACCACCTCCCATCCCATTTCTGTTCTTCATCTCTTCTACTTTACCTGTTTTCCTATCCTCCCGTGCTGGCTGTTGGTTGAAGAAGTAGGTCTTTGCTTCTGTCTGCTGAAGACATCATAAAGAAACGGTGCGCTAGTGAACATGCGCTGGCTGCTTACTGTGTGTGGGCACTGTTCTGGACCTCAGGACCGTCCTCAGCAGCCCACTGGAGTCCGTGCTGCGATTGGCCACATTGTTACACTGTACAGATAGGACAGCTGAAGGCTCTGAGGTTTGGTGATTTGCTCAAGATCACACAGTATCGTTAAACTGAAGAATCAGGAAAATTTTGCCTTCGGGACCCTAAGAAGACTGAGAAGAGTGCTTGTATGCTAGATTCTAGCTTATTGCCATTAAAAATATATCCCAGCCTGAGGAGCTTGGATTGATTTTAGAATGACTAACTCTGGACTCCATCATCACTGAAAACAGCCTAAAGCGTGACCCAGTACATATTACTGTTGTACCAGCGGCCTCTGCACTTTGCCTTTAAGTTAGTAGAACTTAGTGAAACTTGTCTTACTGATATTGTAATGTGTTGCTTAAGGCATGTGTGTGTTTTATATAATATGGAACACGAGTAAATTAAAATTGGATTAAAACCATAGAGGGAGCCCTCCTTCTCCCCTAAGTTTTAGGGAGATGGCCTCACTCGCAGGCAGTAGAGAGATCTGGTGGTCTTGATGAAGCCCTGTCCCCTTCAGGCTAGTGAGGAACCCTCTGACCAGTGCTGCTGGGACTGCTGCTCTTTCTGACAAAGCCCCATGTGCACATACTGTGCCCTGTTTCTAGGGAACTTTTACCTGCTTCCTTGAGCAAAACTTTCTAGCCGTAAAGATTTCTAAGGTGATTTTCTATAACCCTTTAAGGCCCTGCTTTTCTCCTAATTTTAAAAGCTTATTACTGTTAATGAGCATTATTTTACCTTACTTAAGTAAATCTGGCATTCGAAAAATTTATACAAGGAAATATTAGACATTTTGTACTCACTGCATTAAAGATTATAGCACTTTAGAAATACTTGGTTACGTATAATTTGGGGGTGAGGGGGATCACATCTACTTTGTAAATTGAGACATTCTCTAGTGGTATGTAGCCAAGGCAGTAATTTCACATTATAGCCTGCTGATTGATAATCACAGATATTTTCCTTTTGGATCCTGAAAAGGCCTGTGATAGATTCCCAAGACATAGGATAATTCTGTAAAATGCATCTGGCATGCCAAACCAAGATGAAAACATGTCACTCCTTTTGTGGCTGGCAGACTGGAATACTGCAGAGTGTAATTCTTCAAATAATGTGCCAGGCCCACTGACAGGTTGGTCAGAGAATACATCTCCTTTAAGACCAAACAAAACAAAAAAAAACTTAGGAAAAATGTCAACCATTTACAAAAGTAAAATGAGTAAGATAATGAACCTCCCTGCACACATCAGTCAGCTTGAGCAGTGCCTCAACTCGTGGCCAACTTTGTTTTTCATCTCCCTGCCACCCACTTTCCCACCACCCACTATCCGCACTTATTTTGAAGCAAATTCCAGACACATAGCCTCAAGAGGACACTTTCTTAATAGGCTCTCCCTGGTGAGTGAATCCCTTTTTCATTTAAGTGGGATTTGGAGATAGATCAGTATGACAGAAGCAAAGCATGTTTACTGTTTGAATACTTATAAGGCATTACTATTCTCTCTTGCAGTCAAAGACCCCAGCTTTGGTATTTGAATATATCAATAATACAGATTTTAAGGTGCGTATATGCTTTTTCTTTCTGGCATGGGGTTAACGGGGGATGGGCAGTTGGCGATAAGTATTGTTGAGACTCCAGAACAGGAGGGGACCAGGAAATCATTGGTGAGAGTGGGAAGTAATAAATCCGGATTCCTTACCGCCTGAGTATAGGATGCAGAAAGCGGGTAGGGTTTTTGCATTTGGTGAAATTACTCATCACCCTTTGCCTTGCTTACTCTGGGAATAGCTGCTGGGCTGGGTCTAAGTTAATACCTCATCTGTAACACTCCTGTTTTAGACAGCATGGTTTTAGGGAGATACTTGATTTGCATAGGAATCTACCCTTGCTGATAGGAAGTGATAAATGGTTACAGGGCTCATGTGAAAAGAAGCAGTCTGTAGGACTCAAGCTGTCAGAGTGTTGTGTGTTCACCAACACTATACAAAGCAAATGACCCAGAAAAGCTAGTTAAGTGTCCCTGTGCTTTAGAAAAGCCCTATCCAGGATTATCTACGTTTCTTATATTTATAATGCATATTAATTTAGACTTGAAGTGTTCTTCTAAAAGCACGGTTTTAAGCTGGTTTTTCATGTGTTTGTTTTTATTACTGTTCAGACACTACAACCTTAGCTTCTGGTAAGGTTTTGGGGGCTAGTTATTCTAGACATGGTAGAACATAATGTGAATCCATGTATAAAAACAAAATAGTGGTGTTGATTTTGAGGGGTCTTTGGAGAACTTTTGGGTGATTATAATCACTCTGTCAGTGAATCATAAGCTTGTGATTTTTTTGTGACGGAAGTTAGGGCCAAAACCATAGTAGCAGTTGAAAGATGCTGGTATCAGGAGTGAGGCTTTTGGGTGAAAATAAAAGCTTTATCTCACATTTAATTTGTCTTAGGTAGTCACTCTAAAACAACTCTGAATTAGGTTAACTAGTGGAAAATAAGTAAACATGGATATTATAATTTGTGAAACAATAAGCAAGTTTTATATACTTTCCCATGTGTGACAAGTTTCCTTGTTAGCGGGACTCCTTAAAGGTGAAGTCAGCAGTGAGCTCTTGGCGGTAGATGTCATTGTCTTGGTCAGCCTGCCAGTGTTTAGCTAGTAGAGTTCTCTGCTGATACACGTGGCCAGTCACACTTTCGCTATGAGTGACCCAGGTTTATCAAGGTGTAAGTACATGAGTGGGAATGTGTATGCATTTCTTAATGAAACCAAGCATTTTCCTAAATACCAGAAGTTTAAAAGCTGGTCTAAATGAAACTTCATAGTGAAATACCTAAGTTTTAAATGCTTCTGCTCCCTTAATGAGTTTTTATCAGTTGTCTGGCCACGCATGTAAAATTTTCACGTCAGCATTTTGTGTTACTTAAATTGACAACTGCCCTGTGAATTTAACAGCACGCAGAAGATCGGTTTGCAGGAATTTTTAACTCCCTGGAGAAATCTTAACTTCTCTTGCATCTTAACTCTCAAAGGGATGTTTTAATGGCACATGTTCTCCAGGAGCTTCCTTGAAAGAGGTCATGGAAAATTCATGGTTTTTGAGGCATGCATATCTGAAAACGTCATTTTATCTTTCCAATTAACGTACTAGCCGTGGCCTAGAATTCTGGGTTGTAAATAATAATTTTCTCAGAATTTTGAAGAGCTTTTTCCAGTATTACCACTGAAGCCGTTCTGGTTTTACCTTACATGATATGGTTTGGGTTTTGGTTTTTTCTTTGGAAAGCTTTTAGGATTTTCTCTTGAGTCGCAGTCTATGAAATTTCACAATGATGTTCCTTTGAATGGGTCACTTTTATCTTTTGTTCTGGACACTTGCTGGGCTTTTTCCATCTAGAAACTCATGTCCTTCTGTTTTAGAACAATATTTTTAACATTCTTTGATTTTCTTCCCTTTTCTTCTTTGTTCTCACTTTCTAGAGCTCATTCAAATGTTAGACTTCATCTCTTAGCTCTGTTCAGTTCTCAGAAGTTTTAAAAGTAGTATCCTGTTCTTTTATGTAATATCTTCTATTTTCTCACCGAGAATGTGTGGATCCCCCCACCCTGCGATGTTTTCTTCTTCTTGTTCTTTTCTCGGTTTTTCTTTCAAATGCTTTTTTGTGTGTGTTGTTTTTTGTCTGTGTTACAATTGTCTGAAATCTCATGGTTTTTGACTGTCTACTCTTTAGAGTCATGAAATGACTGATGACTGCTTGTCAGCCCCTGTCTGGAGGATGCAAGCCTGGCTGCGGGCCTCTCGGCCTCCAGTGGAGGAGCCCCGTGGGCAATGTTAGGTGCGCTTTCATGTAACTCCGCATTTTCAGTGTGGTGTTTTATTTTGTTAAAGAGTTTATTTATTTATTTGACAAAGATCACAAATAGGCAGAGAGACAGGCAGAGAGAGAGAGAGGAGGAAGCAGGCTCCCTGCTGAGCAGAGAGCCCGACTCAGGGCTTGATCCCAGGACTCTGGGATCATGACCTGAGCCAAAGGCAGAGGCTTTAACTCACTGAGCCACCCACGTGCCCCTCAGTGTGGTGTTTTAAACTTGTTTTCGTGTTTTCAGCTGAAATCTGTTGACTCTCTTTCACTGATACCTGGGGTCACTGTGAGCCTTTCTGTAGCTCTTCCAGGTGAGGTTGTCTGCTTCTGGACCCCCTCTGCTCTTGACAGAATTTTCAGCTTTGTCAGTGGACATTTTTGTCTTGCTTCAAAGTGTTGTCATCTCTTCCATTCTCTTAGTTACTGTGAATGAATCCCCCAAGCCTCACTCCTTTCACTGTTCCTGGAGAGGAACTTCAGGAAGATGCAGAGTGTAGGATGTGTTTGGGCTGCAGTGTCACACTGGGGGGTCCCTTTGAGTGCTCGGGCCCTGCCATTTTAATTCGCTTACAAGATTGTTAAGTATCCAGGTAGTAGATGTGTATCTTGGAAAAGCAGATCATGACAGGATGGTCGTTTTCTGCTCCAGGTAGTACAACAGGCCACAAATAGAGAAATCAGCTAGTTTAATGTCCTCATGCCCTTCAGGCTTTTTTTATTTTGTCCTGTGTCTATCTTTTTACAAAAGCTTCTTTACATTTTTTTTTTTCATTTTACTGTTAAGTGTATTAGTAACTGGATTTAAGGTGTCGCTCAGAGGAGGTTTGTCCCAGGTTTAGTATCCGATGAGTCAGCAGTGATAGAACCTGCAGCCTATTCTTTTCAGCATTTTTTATATCCATAATTTAGTTCTATTGTAGACTCCTGATTATCCTAACTTCATAAAATAAGTTGGGCAGCTTTTCCTTTCTCTTCTCTCAAAGTTTATATGAAATAGGGATTATCTACTTGTCTTTTGGGAGGAAAGGGAGACTTTGGACTATCCTTTCCTTTTCAGAATGTACGTACATGTAAGTGAAAGGTTTATCCTGGTTTCTTGTCTCTTCGTGAGTTTATTTGGATGGTATCTATTTCTAAAATTGTCCACTTTCATATTTACATAAAGTTATTAATAGAATTCTCTGAGGGCTTAAAGAGTGTAATATGTTTGTAATTATGTTTTCCTTTACATTTCCAACATTATTTGTGCCTTTTGTCTCTTTTTAAAAATTACCAGTATTGCTAGAGATCTCTCTTATTAATACTTGAAGAACGGCTTTTGGTTTTATTGTTCAAATGCTTCTGTTTTTCTATTTCCTCATTTCTGTTCCTGTCTTAATTATTTTCTTTCTTCCTCCCTTCTTTGTTCCTAAACTATTTTCTTTCTTGAATTTTCATTGTTTCACCCCTACCTTCTCGAGTGGAAGTCTGCTCATTTCATGTATTTCTGTCTTTCTTGATTGATGGTAAGTGGGCTTGAGGTCTGTGCCCCCCAAGCACCGTCTCAGCTACACATTCCATGGTTATAGAACTCATTTCTGTGTAGTTTTCACGTTAGAAGTACAAATTCCAGGGGTGCCTGGGTCGCTTAGTGTGTTGAGCATTAGACACTTGGCTTTACTTTGGGTCATGATCTCAGGGTCGTGGGATGGAGCCCTGCATCAGGCTCCGCGCTCAGCTTGGAGTCTGCTCATCTCTCCCCTCCCTCTCTCTCAAATAAATAAATAAAATCTTTATTTTAGAAAAGAAGAGGTACAAATTCCAAACTCGTGGATTTGGGGTTTTCTCCCCCGACTTTGTACTTTGAAATACTTTAAACCTATTGAAAATTGTAAGGAGTAGCACAGGTAATACCGTCGTGTTTTTCCCCTAGATTTACCAGTTGCTAATAATTACCACATTTGCTGTTAGTTCTCTTCCCTCCCCTCCCCTCTTATCTCTTTTTTTCTCAAAGTAAGTTGTAGGCATCATGATACTTCACTCCTAAATATACTAGCACTGGAACTGGATAGGACTTTTTCCTACCTGCCAATACTATTAGTACTCTTAAGGCATTTAATACTTCTATGATAATGCCATCTGATACATGGTACAGAGTCCATATTCAAGAGTTTCCTGGTAATTAGTGTCATAAGAATGTCCTTCATAGCCATATGTTTGTGAATAATGTGATAGAGGAGCCACATGGTTTTTCAACAAAAATATTCTTTCATTGTTGATTCCTGATTTGGCTGCGCTGTGTCCCGAGGAACATGACCTGCATAATGTTCGTTATTTGGACTTTATTGACAATGGCTTTCTGACTTTAGTGCATGGCCTTTTTTAATATCAGGCTTGTTAATTCAATTCGGATCGTCTATGGCCTTCCTCATTTTTCCCCTTTGTACTTCGTTTTATGGTGGAGGTACTGGTTTGGTTGGTTTTTGCCTTGAAATCATCAGTTAACGCTTCCTGTGTGTCAGAGCGGTCATAAAAGGTACATTGTGACATTTAGAAAAAAAGACAAACTTCTGAACAAAGGAGTAGGAAAAGCCAGTCTCTCTAATGGTTGAAATGAACAGTTACAGAAAACTCTTAAACTTGACATTTTCTCAAGGAAGCTGAAGTATAGTTGTGGCAGAAAAAGTTTCTACTGAGACATGCTTCTCAATTTTCTGTGCTTTTGGAAGAATGTAAATTAAAATATACATTTTAATTTTTGTAACATTATAGTGATACAAAGTATATCATCTGGACATTATAAAGATTGGTAAGGGATCCTGAATAGGGTCCATTTGAGAAGATGGTAGACCCATATTGCTCTGTGGAGAATTTCTAAATCACTCCCAGAGAGGTGGGCCTTGACTAGCTAATGTCTTGAGGCCTTGTTAATGCTTGTAGTAGTTTGATGTGGAAAGGATCTTCTTTGTAAGACCTGTACCAGTGATTAGTAATAACTTTGATTTGCTTGATGAATGATTTGTTCTGCTTCCGTAAATTTCTAAAAATATTGACCTTGATTTTATTCTGGATCTTGGGGTTATGTTTTAATGCCAGTACTGGTGACAACTGCATTAAGCACCTTTCACACTATATATCCCACTGCCTCTGCATTTTCTTCTCCCTCTTTGGGGACCACTGGGACTTCTGGGCAGAGACTGAGCTGTGTGTGTGAGGGAGTCTGCAAGCTCTGTGTGTAGGGTGAGAGTTTGCTGTGTCTGTGATTCCCACATGTGGCTGGGAACCTTCTTGAGCTGCATAGTCCTCCTCGGGTTGATCGTGATGCAGCCGAAGTACACCCACCGTCTCTGAGGACCAAGTATACAGTGAGAGCGAGGCCACATGGGGCCATTCCGTTCTGGGTGGCAGTTTTAGACCAAGGAGGGTCTGAGGCAGTTGACCAAATTGCCATTTTTCCATTGCTCCTCAGACTTTCTGAGATTAATAAAAAGTCCCAGGATATTTCCACTTTGGGCCTCTTGAGCCTGGAGTAGGTCTGATTTCTGAGAAAATGCCAGTGTGTTTGAGGCTTTGGAACCAAGCTAGGATTGGTGAATAGTTTCTTCCTCAGCACCTTTGTAATCTTCTGGGAAGCATAGGCTTGTTTTGCTTTTGATAAGTCATTTATTTCATGAAAATATAAGCAAAGCTAACTTCCTGCCAACACTTTGCAGTTGGTTGGTTAACAATGTTCTCCACATAGCTGGCCAAGAAGAATGGAGGGAAAGTGTGGTTCTTGTGAAATTTCCCTTTATAACTCATCATGGACTCTTCACACTTAGGTTTCCTGGAAGATAGTTTTAATTTGTTCCATTGACTGGTGAATGTTATCAAAGACAAATATTTATCGATTGCCTTCTGGATGCAAGCTGAGAACCACCATTGATGGGGTGGAATATAGACCATGCTCCTTTGTCATCTTATCTGAGCGCTTAGCATATGGACCAGGTTGTACGGTGCCCCTTGCATGCTTGGAGGAGGGGAAGCAGAGATCCTGAGTCAGCCAGTTGGCAACTAACCACCAGCCACAGTACCCTTTTCTTCCCCACCATGTGTGTCCTGATATTTGGGGGTGCTGGTGTGGGACTTGGGGTGAGAGCGGAGTGGAGCAGCCTCTTGTTGCTCACAGCTCAGTGAGGTTATCTTGAGAACCTCAGGTCGCTGCCAGTACCTGAGTGGGGAACATTAACTTTGGGGACACAGCTGCTGTCTGTGTCCTCTGAACACTGCAGAGGACAATAAATAGCCAGAAGATTCAGAGAAGGAAGGGACACCTTTCAGCTGTCTTGACTTGCAGGCTAAGGGAGCTGGGTGGGATCTTCTAGGTTTGTGGGGAGGTGGGGACGCTGGAGAAGGAAGAGTGGAGGGGGCCAGCAGGTTCGTTTGGTTGGGAGTTGGGGGACCCCCACCTGCCCCGGGGTGGCAATAGAGACAGAGCTGCAAAAGTTGGAAGAAGCCAGACTGTGGACCCTGGCAAGTCCTGAATTTTAGGCCCAGGTGGTAAAATGTTACAGCTGTAGTTTGGGCTCTTCCTACCCAGAGCTCCTGAGAAATGAGAGTGAGTGTCAGCCTGTCATTTGGGACTTCATAATGTATTAGACCTAACCACTCTATTCATTTATTGTTTTGTATTACATAAAATTGATGCTGGTTGCAGTAGCTAGAAATGCTGGCAGCCCGAGGACTTAAGTTGTTATTTAGGCCTTACCACCATTTACACAGATGCTTGGTGTAGATGCCGCACGACAGGAGAGGAAAGCCTACCACAGATAAACGTCCACATGATAAAACAGCCCATATTTGTTCTCTGGAAAGAAAATAGTCCAGCCCTCTGCGGGTTAGAAAATGCTCACTTCACTTTCATGGCCTGTTTATTGACTTGGGGTTCAACTTGGCACCATATCTGGAAGCGATCTCCTTAATTCTCAGAGGAGGAGCTGATTTGACACCCAAAGTGATAGTATCTTCAGCCTGCGTCTGTGCATCCAGGCTGTTGGTATGCTGGCTCAGAAGTCTTCCACGCAGTGCAGAGCTGCAGGAGAGCAGAACACTTGAGTGCTTGGCTGCTCCGCAGCCAAGTCCCTCCTGAGCAGGAGAGGTGGTGCCCTTGTTCCTGAGTGTAGCTCCTTCCCAGCCCAGAGACCACCAGTGGACTGGTCTGTATGGGCTTATGCCCTCTGCTGCCTGAGGTTGATGAAGGCATATGTTTTTACTAAGCTAGAGGGAGAACTACTTTTATTTAACAAGGGAAATTTGAGAAAGAAGCTAAATCCTGGTGGTCTTAGAAGATACTAAATTTAATTCTTGGCAAATTGTTTATCTTTTTGAACAGGTAGTGTATTTACATGGATCTAAAATATAAAATGGTATGCAGTGAAAAATCTCCTTTATTTCACTGTCCTCCTGCTGTCCTTCTGCCTTTGTTGGGGGTGGGAGGAGGAATTCCAAGGGAGAGAAACATTTACATATATATATATGAAGCTGTGTTTTATTTATGTCTTTATATCATTCCTGTAACTACAGACAAATAGAGATGTGTAATTTTGCTCCACACAGACACATCGTATAGGCTGGTCAGTGCCCCTTTGAGAGTTCTCCTCTGTTGCCAGAGTCTTCCAATAAAGAAATAAAATATATTTAATCAAGTTGTGCTGACTAATTTTGTAGAAAGTGCTACTTGTGACTGATGGGGAACAGATCTACTTGGAATTGATTACCTAAAATAAACGTGTTGGTATAGTTTCTGATGAAGGTTTGTGATGATTTTAATGAACCTGGATGTGTTAATGCTACTCTGCCTCTTAGAAATGGAAATTTAAAAAATAAAAAAGAGCAGACTCCCAGTGGGTGTGCCTTTTGTCCCAGTATGAGAACTCTTTGTTTGTTCTTTTGGCCTGGAATCATTTTCAGTACCTGTCTTTCTTCTTTTGTTTTTTTTTTTTTTTCTCTCTCTCTCCCATACTCCTTTCTTAAGTCTCTTACCATCTCCAAGAGCTAGAGCATTTTCCTCCTGTTTCTTTTTCTCTTTTTTCTTTTTTAAGATTTTATTTATTTATTTGACAGAGACAGCAAGAGAGGGAACACAAGCAGGGGGAGTGGGGGAGGGAAAAGTAGGTTTCCCAGCCGAGCAGGGAGCCCAATGTGGGGCTTGATCCCAAGACCTTGGGATCATTACTTGAGCCAAAGGCAGACGTATAACAACTGAGCCACCCAGGCATCCCTTCCTGTTTCTTTTTGAGCAAACACACTGTGTTGCCACTTTTTACCACATGGGCCAATGAAGTTCTGATCTCCACTCAGAACATAGTTCTCTAACGGACACTGTGCTGCTCCATGGGTTAGTTTGAAGTGTAGTAAGAATATGAGGATGGTCAGACAACTTGGACTTCATCTCCACAATAATGTAATTTGAGGTGTTGAAATCATGGAACATTGAACAAATTTTTTAAAAGATCCATGTTGAATTAAATGTTTCTCTCCCTTGGAATTCCTCCTCCCACCCCCAACAAAGGCAGAAGTATTACACCCTTGCCCTTGGCCTTTATCCCCATTTGTTCCAGACAGGTAGTAGAAAAAAGTCCTGGGGTTCTTTAGTGACTTAAGTAGTAAGTTTACAGAGAATGATGAGCAGTATTTGGGATGACAAGATGCGATGAGACTTAATTAACTTTCTCTTTTCTGAAATCTGTTTCAGCAACTTTACCAGATCCTGACAGACTTCGATATCCGGTTTTATATGTATGAGCTACTTAAGGTAAGTGGCATTCAGATGCAGTGAATTTTTTCAGGTGTATTCATTAAAGGAGAAGTTTCAGAGAGGACAAAGAGAACTCAGGCAGACTCTTTCTTGATACTTAGAGAATTTCGTGAAGTGTTTGTTTTTGTTTTTTAATTTTTTTTTAAGTAGCCTCCACACCCAACTAGGGCTTGAAATCATGACCCTGAGATCTAGAGTCGCAGGCTCTACTGACTGAACCAGCCATGTGCCCCAAGGGATTTTTTTGCTTCTCTTTTAACCTACATTGAGATCTCTGTCGTGGGATCTTTACATAGGAACTTTCCAGTGGAACTGAGAAATGTGGCCGAGTCAAGAGATACCAGGAATCAGAACCTCCTTCTTTGTAGCTCTTGTTGGCTCTTGGATTTTCTTTTTGCTGTTTAATTAACACTGTTAGTTTTCATGGTATAACATGTCACCCAGAACTTAACACTTTTTAAAAAGTTATTTATTATTTCTTCTAATTCTGTGGGTTCCTGGGTGAGTCTTCTGCTTGGGTCAGCGTGACTGGGGCACACTGGTGCCTGGTGCAGGATGGCCTCATTCACATCTCGGGGGTGACAGCTGGCATAGCCGAAGCCTCGTTCTACAGAGGTGTTAGTCTAAGCTGCTGCTTCCTGTGGTGGCCTCGTTTTTCCTACTTGCACGAGAGTCAAAGTTTGATGTGTAAGCGCTTTTCAAGCCTCTGCTTTAATCATTGTCTCCTAATGCCCTATTGGCCAAAGAAATCCTGGCCAAGCCTAGATTCAAAGAATGGGGAAGTAGACTTCGCCTTTTGACAGGCAGAGCATTGAAATCACAGTCTGGAGGGACATGCGTGCTGGGAGGTAGGCCTCTGTGGCCATCTTTCTCTCGCCATCACTCATAATCCCCTTCCCAGCCTACCCTCCAACCTTGACTGATGTATACACGCACGGAGAGGTGATGGCAGGTTGGGGGTGGGGCAGTGGTCCTCTAGCTGTCTTAGTAATCTCCCAAGACGGAAATTTTGAAACATTACTGGTTGATGGAGGAATGATCTTTTTTAGTTTGTCTAGGTGAACACTTAGGTAAAGAATTCTAAAATGGCTTGTAAAATGGAATAGACCAATGGCTCCTAAGTAGTTTTGAGTCATGAATCACTAAGAATCTAAAGAAAACATATAAACTCCCCCCAAAATACATGTATAAATTTACAGTATTACATGAAGTTTTATGGGGGGTGTGGATCTCAATTTAAGAACCTCTGAAAGATAGAGATGACTGAGTTATTAGCATTATTGAAGAAAATTGCCAAGAGGAGTTTAATGGGATTGTGAACAGTTACTCGAACAAAATCCCTTGTTTAATTAAAGCTAAGCTTTAGGGAATGGGGGTTTGGAGAACTAGCTTGTGAGGTAAATGTGTTTTCTTAGAAGCGCTTATACAGACCACTTGTCATTAGTACCAAGGTGGCCAATTTAAGAGTCCACTCTTACAACTAATGGGTCTTTCTTTTGCCAGTAAGATCAGAAGCATGTGAAGGTAGAGCTTGCTTTATCACACCTTTCTGCATGTCCTCTTTCTTGATACTTAGAGAATTTCATGAAGGTGTCCGTGGGGAAGAGGCTTGCAGTGTTGTGCTCTTACAAGCAATCTGCTAGCTCCATCTCTGGAGGTGCTTGCCGGAGAACCCCATGTATCCACCCAGTGAGAGCTGCAATCCAAATCCAACAGTTGGTTATTTTTTTTTTAAGTAAGGTATTAAGATTTTGTGGTTTTCACTTAGCATACCAAAGATGAAGATTTAAACCTCGTACAGCTGTGCTTAAGTCAAGGGAAGACATCCCAATGACGTAGGTCTTCACAGGCGGGTCATGTAGATGGTACTGTGTGTCTGATATCCCTTCTGCTTTCTGGAGGTAACAGCTAGCCAGTAAGGGTGTTCTTTCTGCTAATGAGGCACTTCGTCTGGGGTTGAGGCACAGAACCCCAGACGAAGTTTGAAAAATGTTTTTCATGCTTAATGGTCAGATAATACCAGATTTTGAAACTGAAATAACTCCCCCAAGGAATTTAAAAGCATGTCAGTGACTCCACAGGGAGTTTGACTAGTGAACTTGGCAAAAGAATTAATTCCCTTACTGTACTTGTTCAGCCTCTGCTCTCCTTGGGTTTTTCTTACACCCCAGGTATTATGGTCCTAATTAGTTCATTCCTTTGGGCAAAGACTAGGCAAAATAACAGAATCGACACTTGATGAATTTTTTCTTTGGGGTAATAAAATGGGGATTGAGGAAGAGGAGATCTTCAGCTTCACGGAAAATGTCAAAGAAACTGAGGCTAGGGCTATTGAGTGGTTGCTGGGTACACAGTGCAGTCTCCCAATTCAGATCCGGGGAGGTGTGACCTCAGGAGCCCTGGTTTCAAAAGACACTGCCACAAAGCCATTGTAGAATCTTGCTACACCTGTTGTTGTGAAGCAAAACAAAGAGAAAAATTAAATCGAAGTAGAACTCCCATAAATGAATAAATCTTAAGTGTACAGGTTTTTGGGTTTTTACATAAGTGAAACCTTCACCCAGATCTGTATGGTACTATGCTGCCCGGTATAGTAGCTGTTGCCCACAGGGAGCTATTTAATCCATGCCTTAATCACAGTAGCCATATTTCCAGTGTTCAATGGCCTCCTGTGGCTAGTGGCTACTATATTAGTGCAGCTGTAGAATATTCCTGTCATTGCAGAAAGTTCTATTGGACAGGGCTGGTAGAGAATATTAACAAATACCCCAGAAGGCTCTCATATGCTCCTTCTCTTCAGGATCCCTTTTCTGAAGATACTATTCTCACTTCTACCACCATAGTTTAGTTTTGTCTGTTTTTTAACCCTCGTATATTAAGCCTCGTGTGCTATCTACTTTTTTGTGTCTGGGGAAAGCAGAATTTGTTTACTCCTGGAATGCTGATCCTAGAGCTCATTCTCTGACCTAGTCCAGTGGTTCTCAATCAGGTCAGTTTGGCAAAATCTGGAACCATTTTTGGTTGTCACAATGGGGAAGAGTGTAACTGGCATTTGGTGGGAAGAAGCCAGGGATTCTGTTAAACATCCTGCCGTGCACAGGACAGCTCTCCCAGCCAAGAATTACCCCAAGTCCCAGGTGTCCAAGATGTCAGCAGTGCCGAGTTGGAAAAACCCTAATCTTGTCTTGTGGAAAACTCCCCTAAAAGCACTCAGTGCCAGGCACATAGTAAGAAGCACAAGATGATAGGTTGCTATGATTATTATTACCTAAGGAGGAAATCATGGCAGTCAAGTAGGCTGCAGTGCTTTGAAGACAAGCCAGAAGGCCTAATTTAAAATGTGTGGGAATAGTTACTGTGTTCAGAAAGGGAGAATTAGAAGCAAATTTTTGTATTATCTAAAACAAACAAACCACCCAAAGAAAAAATGGTAAAAGATAAAAATGGCAAAAAAAAAAAAAAAAAAAAGTTTTGAATCAGTATTTATCCAAAGAAGATGCAGGATGACCACTAAGACCCAAAAAGATGTCCTCTTGATCACCCAGTTCGGAAATACAATTCAGATCCATGTGAGGGCCCACATGAGACCCTCCAGAAAGGCGCTAATCCCGAGGATGAACCAGTGACAAGTTGTTTGTTGGCAAGGATGTGATGAAACCGGAACCTTCATACGTGACTGCTGGGGATGTAAAATGGAGCAGGCACTTTGGAAAACGATCAGGCAGACTTTTTAAAAAGTTCAGTGTAAACTTATGGACGGCTCAGCACTTCCACCCTCAAGAATCTGTGTAAGAGCAATGAAAGCCTGTGTCCTCTCAGAGACCTTTACGTGAACATGCATAAGCAGTGTTCTTTGTTTAGCCCCAGACTGGAGACAACCCAGATGTCCGTCAGCTAGTACAGCCCTGCAGCGGATTACTACTCAGCAACACGAAAGGGGGACACAGATGAGTCTCGGCAACATTATGCTGAAGGAAGGAAGGCAGAGTACTGGATATTGTATTATCTCACTTTAAAAATGCCCAGAAAAGGCAGTTCGGCAGTAACAGCAGGTTTGTGGTTACAGCTGAGGTAGGGGCAAAGAGGAGTGGGGACCGATCACAGGCAAGCTGACAGGGAATTCTTGGGATGGTGGCAAGAGTTCCAAGACTGGATTGTGGTGCTGGTCGCACAACTCTGTGAGTGTGCTAAAGGAAATCATGGACTTCTATGCTTAAAATCGTATCTGGTGTCGTCTGTCTGTGTATCTTCCCTTAGAGTAAAAATAGAACTCTTAGAGGCCCCTGGCTTAGGGGTTGTTTGTAAAATAAAATATTAATACTAGAACACTGGGTCCATGTTGAACAACACGTCTTCATTCCCACAGTGACTCTTGCGTGCCATTTGAACCACTGTGAGTGGGGACTCTGGTGAGTTTCCCAGATCTGGTTTTAAATCCATCAAGCTAGACCAACAGATGAGTGTAGGATTTCTAAATCTAGGTGGCTGGTGAAGTGTTACCTACTAACACCTAGGTAGGAAGCGTCTCCCTGTCCCCTCCCTCACAGAGCCCCCTCTCCACCAGCTGCCAGCATAGGGTACCCCAGAGCAAGGGGGGCCTTCTGAAGCATGCCTGTTCTCCTCTGTCACAGACTGTAAGCTGCTCTTTGGGAGTGTGCATCCAAGCCAAGCTGTCACAAATAATAAGAATATGCTTGCATCATAGTTGGTAGATGGTTTGCTTACTTTTCTCTGTCCTTTCTTGTCTAATAGGCCCTGGATTACTGCCACAGCAAGGGAATCATGCACAGGGATGTGAAACCTCACAATGTCATGATAGATCACCAGCAGAAAAAGGTACCATTGCAGCCAGGCAGTGACAAGGCTTTCCGTGGAAGGCCTAGGGCAGACGCAGCGCTGGCCAGTACCCAGGTGGTACCGCAGACCTGTTTACCGCTGTCTTCGGCAGACTTGTGTTACTGTTCCCTCTTCAGTCTCTGGTGTTGCTGTCTACTTTGCATAAGCGTGTACGCAAGGAAAGTAGGCAGCCAAGCCTCACTGTCGTGCTGTGTTTATTTCGGTCATGGTTTTCCAGAGGGACGTGCAAAGAAACTCCAGCTGATGGTTTCTCCTCATTTTAATGACCCTTAGACCAATCAGTGTGCCTGGACTTACGAGTACACTTGGGTCTCTCCTATTTTCGATATCTGGTCTGGTTGTCCCTGATTGGTGAGTGGACGAATCCGCTGCTAGGAGATGAACGAAAGGCTGGAGCAGTGCTTCAAGCCGGGACTGGGGCCTGGGTCCCCAACCCTGTCAGTCGTGGCAGCTGTTAATGACGGAGGAGTGTGTTACACACGCCAGCAAAATGGACGCAGAGTCAAAGGCTTAAGCTTGATTGATCTGAAGAGAATGAAAAGCCAGGATCATTTAAATTAAAAAAAAAAAAAAGCAAATAAGATTCTGAGTGCTCTGCTCTAGAAGGGACCCTTCCACCATGACTGAAAGTGTAATTTTTGATGGCATTTTTCATGTGGCCCACGTAATTGTTAACTGATGTGATGTGGCCTTGTTCTAAGGCATGGGTGTCTGGAATCACTCCTTTACGTGTTTGATTTCTGTCATGTTTGTAGCTGCGACTGATAGACTGGGGTCTGGCGGAGTTCTACCATCCTGCTCAGGAGTACAATGTCCGTGTAGCCTCGAGATATTTCAAGGGCCCGGAGCTCCTTGTGGACTATCAGGTAAAACTCCTGGCCAAGCATCTCCCCTGCCTCTGTGTGTTTCCTTAGGGCTTCTCCTCCTTTGCTCTTTGGATACATTCAGAACCGAGCCTGAAGTGTTAATTTCAGATTTTTCTCAGTAACTTTTTTTTTCTTTGAATTCTAAAATATATGCAAAGGTCAACTAAAGACTAAAAATCCAGATCAGAGAAATGCATTTATAACACTCTTCACTGACAGGCTGGCCTTATTTCCCCAGATGTATGATTATAGCTTGGACATGTGGAGTTTGGGCTGTATGTTAGCCAGCATGATCTTTCGAAAGGAGCCCTTCTTTCACGGACAGGACAACTACGACCAGGTGAGCAAACAGTGACTGGCTCTTCCCCGTGTGGGGCAGATGCCAAGAAAATGGAGTCCTATGACAGGGATGCTGTCCTCAAGCCGCTAAATGTAACTCAGTGTCTGCACAGAAGTTTTGCTTCAGGGTAAAGAGTTGCATGACTCTTTGTGGTTACCAGGTCCCCAAATGCAGAGACAGATAAAACTCTCTTATGCGCAACTTCCAGAGAGAGTCCTGTGAAGAAGTCGGGCAGCCCTTGTCTAATAAAACCAGACTGTAGTCATTAGATTGTGATGCCCCCAGAATTGGTCAGCTTCTGGAAGATTATTGTCGTAAGTTGTTACCATTTTAAAGGCGGTTTGGAAATTTGCATTCTGTGACCATCATGTCCTGGGGTCTGCCGCCTGTGTGCCCCAGGCTCCAGCCTGCATCTGGTCCCTGGGGACTCAGTGGTGTGGAAGCCCCCAGGGCCTTGGGATCATGTCCTCCCAGGCCTGCAGTGAGCTCTGTGCTCAGTGATTTGGTCAGTTTGTTTTGTGTTTCAGCTTGTTCGCATTGCCAAGGTTCTGGGTACAGATGAGCTGTATGGTTATCTGAAGAAATATCACATAGACCTAGATCCACACTTCAACGATATCCTGGGACAGTAAGTAAGAGAGGGAGGGAGAATGAGGGTTTTAATTTACCCTATTTCAGAACTGGGAATGTCGCTGAAATCACTTGCTAATAATCATAGCAAAATTGAAACCTCCTCCCTTTTTTGCCTGTATTTTTTTTTTTTTTAACTTGCTTTGAGGTAGCTGGGCATTGTTTACATGTGTCTTCTGGTCACTGTACTTCTCTAAGAGATAACCTGTCAGTAGAAAACGGAAGACAAAATCCTATTATAGGAAAAAATCTTTCTGATACAGCATATGCTTATTTTAATGGAAAATCTTAGAAAGCTGTGTTTCTTCTTTGAGTAAGAGCTTTATAGTTTTTTCTTGTTCTGTGTAATGGATTTTTACAAGATACCAAATTTTGGGGCACCTGGGTGGCTCAGTGGGTTAAGGCCTCTACCTTCGGCTCAAGTCATGATCCTGGGGTCTTGGGATTGAGCCCTGCATCGGGCTCTCTGCTCAGCGGGGAACCTGCCTCCTCCTCTCTCTCTGCCTGCTTCTCTGCGTACTTGTGATCTCCATCTGTCAAATAAAATAAATAAAATCTTTAAAAGAAAAAAAGCGGATTTTAAAGTATATTTGCAGGTACAGTGAGATAGTATTGAAAAGTAAATGCATTGGGGCACCTGGGGGGCTCAGTGGATTAAGCCTCTGCCTTCAGCTCAGGTTATGATTTCAGGGTCCTGGGATCAAGCCCCACATCGGGCTCTCTGCTCAGCAGGGAGCCTGCTTCCCTCTCTGTCTCTGCCTGCCTCTCTGCCTGCTTGTGATCTCTCTTTCTGTCAAATAAATAAAATCTTTAAAAAAAAAAAAAAGGAAAAGTAAATGCATTGGCAATTTTCAGTGTTTTATGGAGCCTCTAGATTTCTGAGGTTGGCTCTCTAAATATTTCTGTTGAACAAAAATAACTCCATCACCTCTGTGCCTCACCAAATGGACTAAAAGCCTGATGCCTAAGAGGTGATCTAGGAAGGTGCCACAGATTCTAAATGAGATGTCAAAATTTTTGCTCCTTTTATTTGTCAGAGAGCACTGGTTTTTGTTTCAGGATGCTGCGAGTGTCCCTGTGGGGGGTGGGGCAGATACGGTGAGAAAGAGATTGAACGAGATTGAAATCCGTGCAATAGTCTAAGATTTTGTTCTTGGTACTAACGCTTCCCTTTCCTTCTCAGACATTCACGGAAACGCTGGGAAAACTTTATCCATAGTGAGAACAGACACCTCGTCAGCCCCGAGGCTCTAGATCTGCTGGACAAACTTCTGCGATATGACCATCAACAGAGACTGACTGCCAAAGAGGCCATGGAGCACCCGTACTTCTGTGAGTCTCCCGGGGTGTAGTGTATTAAAGGAGAAAGAGTTGCTTATCTTTGAGGCCAGTCAGGAGAATTCTAGCGGTTTGGATTGAATCATCCGTGGAATTTGGCCTCACTGGTTCTCGACTGTTGAGACAGTTTTGCTGTTCCGTTTCTTGGCCTGCAGGGGGTTTGCTTGTCCGCTGCCTTAGCTCTCCTTGAGTCTGGTCTGTGGACCATTTCCTATGGCCCTGAGTTGGAGATCATGAGCACCTGAACATTGTTTTCAGATACATACATCTGTGTGGGACCCTAACCCAAGATACCTTCCCCTCAAAAAACAAGTAGTTTAAAGTAATAAGGTGACTGTGGTATATTTTTAAAGAAGGAAATGTTAAATAAAGGAATTTGAGTAAAGGAAAGCAGGTGTGGAAAGACCTCACTAAAATCCTTCCTCAGTTAAAGAATTTTGGGGTCTCCCTTCATAGTGTGGGTATGGATCAGTGCCTGGGGTTGCTTATTGTCTGCATGTGTACCACCCTCCCCCGCAATACAGTAGGTCTCAAATAAGCTTTCCCCTTAATTGCTGGCAACATGAGATGATATGGTCCAGGCACAGAGGAGACTGGGGATAAAGGTTACAGGACCTGTCTTAACTCACTCTCTGAATCAAGAAAAAAAACTTTCAGCCTATCTGTTGGGTTGGCCAGTATGCTATCTTCCTTTCTTTTCTTCCCTTCTAGAGATTAAGCAAATCTTACCTGTATTATACAATTCTTGAACCTGCTGGCCTGTAAGCATTAGTGGACAACAAATTGGAAAGGTTTTACCCTTTGGCCTTCTAGACCTCAGATAATCACAACGCAGGGGGCCCTCTTTCCAATTTCCGGCATAGGAAGCTATTTTCACCCTCTGAGTTAGAGTCAATTAATAATTCTGATGTTTGTAATACATAATTCATGATCTGTCTACTTTTCTGAATACACATCTTCTGTAGAAAAAAAAAAGTGTTTCAAATGACTGTTGCTTAAAATTGATAGGTCTTCTAATGGCTCTTTTCATTCCTTTGCTCCCAAGTGCTCATTACTGCGCATGATTTGAAGAAATTAGGGGTTGGACCTGACATTAGTATTCAAGGAAAATAACACATAAGAAGATTAGTAGTGATTTTGAACAGTGGGAAGTCAATGTTTGTGGACCTCTGTTTTCCAAGAGTCTCCATAGTTGAACTTGCCCTTTGAAGGAAGTGCAAGAACTGACTAGAAGAGCAAATTCCCTTGATTAGTTTTCAGTATCTGATTTTTCTCTAACCTTAGTTCTGTAATTTCTGTTGTCCTTCTGACCCTGGCTTTCCCGTCAGTCTGTCTGTCTCTCTCTACCCCACTGCAGAAAGGGGATTGTCATGATGGTGCCTCCCACGGCTTCCAGCCCAGATTCGGCTGACTTCCATCCTGTTCTCTTGCAGACCCCGTGGTGAAGGAGCAGTCCCAGCCTTCTGCAGACAATGCTGTGCTTTCCAGTGGCCTCACGGCAGCCCGGTGAAGACTTGGAAGGCGACGGGTAATGCGGCATTGATGCTTGCCAATAAAACCAACCAACCAAACCCAAATCTTGAAGGAAAACTACAATGTGATAAAAAGAAATTCTAGTCATTCCTTCCAAATGCAAAGAAGAGTAAAGACCTAACTGTCTGTCAAAAAGAAAGAAATCCCCCAGTACTAGTCTACAGGGAGCTGCCGTTGTGGCGGCAGGACGATGCCCATAGTTCAGGATCTGAGGGAACGCTCCCTTTGGAATGCATGGGAGAGGAGAGACTCGGAGTTGTTGTCCATTTACCTTTATTTAACAGGAGGTCACTGTTGAATTAACCCGTTCAGTCAACAAGCTCTGAATATCTGACTTCCTATCTATTCCACTGTGGTCTGGGTTTCCTTTGGTGTGAGATTCAGGCTCAAGATTTAGCAAAACGTCAGCAGTCTATACTGACACACCAGCCTCATTTATGAAAAGGAGATATTAAAACAGTGACAGTATTTTTTTTTTTAAGCTCTTTTACAAATTCATGTTTTATGTATTTTTTTATGACATGAGCTCTCTGGGAAATGTACCTCACCCCTGCAGTTTTCTTCTAAGTGTATTCATTTGGGAGCACACTGCAGGCGCTCACGAGAGGCCCCTTCGCCGTCAGCAGGCATCACTTGAAACCTTGTGACGCCGTGAACAGGTCCCTCTGTCTCATCAGAAGTTTGATGCGCAGTGCATAACTTGGAGCTCACTGTAACCTTTGTTGATTTACCTAACCATAAAATCTTGTTGCTATTTTTTCCGTGTAGCCTTTTTTTTCTTTTTGCAGCCTTGTAAGGAAAACCTCACCATTTCCCAGCACATACATCCCTGTGTGTGCGCCTGTTTTCATGCACCTCTCTGAAATAGAGACTTTTTGGTCATAACCATAATGAAAGCTGGAAAGTAGGTCTTCAGGCAGGTTGGGGAGTGAGGGAAACATCCTATTAGAATGTATTTAGGAAAAGACCTATTGAGTGAGAAAATGTACTCTTCCCCCACCCCCCACCCTTTTTGCCTTTTTATCCTCATGAGAAGCAATTTCCCTCTATAATCAGGGTAAGCTGCATTTGGAAGCTCCAAGAGGTCATATGTGAACGCGATGACAGAGCTGTCCTCACGGGCAGGGACTGGGGTCGTGTGTGCAGGGCCAGCCCGTACCCCAGTGACTGAGCAATCATCATCTGGGGAGCCTTGGGGGGTTAGTTGGAGCTCCTGGAGTCAGTGTCAAAACTCGGGATCCATTGTGCCAGCCTTCGTGTTAGCAAAGGAAGCTAGATTCTGTTTTAAAAAGTAAACAGGCTGATTTCATTTTGGGGACTTGTCACCAGTCTGGTTTGCAAGCATTCTCCTCCCCCAGCTGCAGAGCCATGCCACAGCTGTGGGGACTTCGAGCTAGGCTAGAGCTCGAGGTGTCAACCCACATCAGACCGTAGGATTTCTTTATTAACTATTTAATAATGCCATACATTTTTATAAGGTTAGATTGTTTGTTTGAAAACATCTGTTTACATTCCGTATTCCAATAAAATCGTATTGGTATTGGTAGCAGGTCCTATCTCTATATGTAGATTGTATTTTTGTCATTTGGTTGGTGGGAATTTAAAATGCATATAAAACTCTTACTAGAGTTGACGTTACAGATTGAAAATTAAAAATAAGACCCCAAAGCCAGGAAATGCATTCAGTTTAGATTCTCATACCAATACTACCTGCCTATATTGCACATTCTGTATATTGATGTATGCATTTGTTCTACCTGAAAACGGAAGCCAAGGCATGAGCTCTCAGCTGCACCTGTATTCGTATGTCAGGCATGGAAGCCTTCTGATGTGCCCTTCTAGGCAGCACTGTTGGTAATTATCAGGGAGATGTGCCGCTGTGTGTCTTTTTTGCCCCCTACCTCTCATCTCCTCCTCTGTCATTCTCGCCCACCCCCTTTTTTTTTTTTTTTAAGTTGCCTGTCTGGACCAGGCAGGAGGAGTATACTGGAGAGTCTTGGTGAAGTAGTAACCCCATTTCTTTTCCTTGGGTTCCCCAGACGCAGCGAAATTATCTGGAGGAGTATAGTCAGGTGATGGACGTACTTCTGCCTCTCTCCGTTGATCATGATTTAGTTGGTGCAGACACAGCTAAGCTGCCTGTCCTGGCTGTGTGACTGCGGCTCTGACAGAATTACTCTGACAGGAGTAATTCTTTTTATGCATGGTTTACTTTTCCACCACCTATGCTTTTCACTTCTTTTCCTGCCTTAGACAGTATGACTGAGTTTAAAATGCCCATCCCTTTCTGAGTCTGGTCTTGACAACTAACTGGCTGGCTGTAGGTTCTTTCCCAAATTGAAGTGAGTCCAGTCCTGACCTTTTCTCTTACCCATCTCTAGAGCCCTTTTGTGGCCAGATGAACCTAGCTCCCTGGAGATTTCAGAGTACTTAACCTGGCTTAGGAGATGGTCATGAAAAATTCCCAAAGTGGGGGGGCGTGGGCAGGGAAAGAAAATGTGAGAGAGAGAGAGAGAGAGAGAGAGAGTGTGTGTGTGTGTGTGTGTGTGTGTGTGTGTTTGAGTGGGAGTCTGCTCTTATACTTAGACTCAGCTGTGGTATATTTACCCACCCAATATCCTGTCTGGTCAGCAGATTATTTCTTAAGTTCATCTCAGTATTTTTGATTAGCCATTTTGTTTGCTTTGTTACTTTATAACTGGTTAAAAGTGCCTACGATAAGGACTTAGTTATTTCCTAAAGAAAAGCAAAAAATGTGGGGAACAGGGTAGTGTTACACTATCATCTCAGGTCCTGCCTGTGTTCAACGACATAGGCCTGGTATGGTGAGAACAAAATGTTCCTTTGCCAAATACATATATTAGTCTGTCAGGGCTGATGGGCCACAGTGAGCATAAGGGCGAGGCTTGGCTTCAGCTAAGTCCCATGGCGAGAGCAGAACTGATGAGATGCCCAGTGATCTTTTCACCTGCAGCTTGCTTGCAGTTCACTCTCCGCTGGATTGTATCAGCTGCCCGCTCCTGTCCCATCACTGGGAGGGGAGTAGGTGGGAGAAGTCAAGTGGACAGCACAGACCAAGCATTCCTGGGTCTTCTCACCAATGACAGCAGTGCTGATGGTGGCTCTCTGAGGCTCCTGCACACCGGCCGCCGCGCCGGGTCTAACAGACATCCTCTAGCACGTCGCTGCTCCCGGGGCTCAAAGCTGCTGTACTCCCTTGCAGAGAAGGAAGGGACTCAGACTGCTTGGCTGGAGAAGACAGAAGAGCTTGTAATCCTTGGGGGCTCAGGCAGGAGGTGGTTAAAAGAAAGGAAACCAATAAGAAAAACAGTCAAAGGGTAGGTCTTGAGGAGGGAGCATGACTTCTTGACAGAGTTCAGGGACACCACCTTCATGAGCTGGAATGGTGTCCTGAGATGGGCACGGCGCCTGGAGTGGTTCCAGCAGGACTGGAAGTGGTGCCCTCCAGGCAGATGCTGAGTCCCAGAGAGAGCTGACGGCCGTGGGTCTCGGTCCACACCTACTCAGGGAAATGACTTAGGTTCTCCCAGGTGCTGTCTTAAGGATGGAAGCAAAACTCTTTGGGGAACACCAGCAGCAATTGGAAGAATTTTTTTATATGCACTGAAATGGTTCTAAGAGAGTCCACTTGGCCGTTTCCCTTAATGCCAGTTCAGACTGCACGATTTGTTTAGAAACCTGTGTTACTGCACGAGCACCCACAGGATAAAGCAAATTTCCCTCCTACAAATAAGTAGGGGTGGATCATAATGGAGCAGAGTCAAGGTCATTGAACTCTAAGCCCTTTCAAAAGCAAAAGCAGGGTCCACAGGAGCATATGAGAAGCCAGAGTTTGTCAGCGAGCTTAATCAACCTAAGATGGCCTTACGTCCTGCTTTTAAAAAACTAATCCCAGGGTGGGGGTGGGGGAAGGGAGGTGGCAGTAAAACATCTGGCCCAGAAAACCAGTAATAACAACGTATACTTCTGAGCTCTATGGATGTGTTCATGGAAACGACTACGAGCAGGTGCCGTGGAGGCTGGGGAAAGTGATGTGATGGGTTATACGGCTGACAAGCTGAGTACTTCTGTGTAGAGACTCAACAATGTGCTACAAATGTGATACTTAATCCTGAACTGCATGTATTGGGGATTGTTCAAAAAAAATAATAACTTTCATTGAATCAATAAATTAACAGTTTTGCACTTGCTGGCTTTTCTTGCTGTAAATGGTGACTAAGAGGTTGGGGCAGAAATCTTGCCACCCCCTGGAAAGCTTGGATAAATCTTCAAGACCTGTGGAGCCAACCATTTCCTTCTGTTTGCAGAAAAGCGCCACTGCCTGGGTTGTGATCTTTGCCAAGTGACCACTTCTGACACACTTGGCCACCTCTTTGTATCACTGGATGACTGATATATGACTGATATGCCGTTGCCCTTAGAGGAAAGACAAATGCATGTTCAGTCCTGTTTTCATAAATAAAAATGTTGACAACCACCAACTTCCCAAGCGGGAGACCAGCCACTGCTATGGGGACCTTAGGCTTGTGTTTCCTGTGTCTTGGGGGAGAGGCGGGGTACACCTTGTACTGCAAAGATGGGTTTATGGGCGATGCAGCAGATCCCCACCTTCAGTCCTGTGAGGTGGGGCTGGAGTGGTGTCCCGGTGGGGCGGGTGTGGTTCCTTGGTACTCGCTTCCGCCGCAGGCACTTGCTTCTGAGATCAGCCCATTTCAGTGCCTGACTCACCTCTGTGGCAGAGTGCTCTGCGTTGATGACCATCTCTCCCTGCCCGCATTCCGTGCATCACAAGCAGGCACGCGCTATTGTGTGTCTGCATTTGGCAGATGGTGGTGTCTTTAATTAGCGTGCTTCTCCCTGACGGATCCCTCTGTGGCGCTGGACGCTTGGAAATCAGTTGCCAAAGTGCTTAAAGGCAAATAGGCCTTTCTTTCTTAGCCTTCCGCGCCATGTGGCCTTTCTCAAGAATGTAGGATCTCCCTTCCTTGACCCAGTGAAAGTTTTCATGAAATGATGTTTCTGTGACCGCTTCCTGGGGGCACAGTCCTTTCTCATTGCTGTAGTGCCGATCTCTGAGCACTGCTTCTAGAGTTCTGCCACTGGCCTCTTACCGCCCACGCCACTGTGCTGGACCTGGAAGGAGAAACGGGGTTTTCAGGCCATGCCACACCGCTGCTCCCAGGGGAGAGTTAAAAATATTTGAGCTCCCTTTTTGCTCTTTGTTTGTTAGTGGACTCAGCGCTTCCCCAGCGTAAATACAGTCATCTGATTATTAGTCCTGAGATGTCCTCAGTGAACTGGGTCAGGGCTAATGGGATCAGGAGTTGGACTGCTGAGCTTGTGGCTCGGCTGGCAGAGAATGGTCCAGAGCCCATGGTGCTTCCAAATCTGTGTTCCGGACCTAAGAGGTGGGAAGGAGGCCTGGGGAACACACGCCATGTCCAGAGCTTTCCCCTTGCTCTCTCAGAAGGCCATGCCTAAGACCACCTCTGTGAGTGGCAATCACAAGAGGAAGGAAGAGGGTATTGCTGAAACCTGAGACCATAAAGTTAGCTCTTACTAGGTTTTCCATTGAGTGGCATGGGAAAGTCCAGCTTGCACACTGCTCCCAGCACTCTTACAGAGAAGGAAGCCGCAGGCAAATGAAGGCCTGTCCTCACTCCGGGTCAGATTGATTAATGCCGTCTTTCCCCTCCTCCCATCTCTTTCCCCAGGTCTGTTGCGGTTCCTCCCACTTTTC